TCCTTCGTGCTCGGGGTGTGGTTCTGTCCCAGTGTGGGAATGGGGACCAGTGGTACTGGCTCGGTTTCCTTCGTGCTCGGGGTGTGGTTCTGTCCTGTCCCAGTGTTCCAGCTGGTCATCAGGACACGTGCCCTTGTGTGGCACGGTGGCCGTGTCAGTGGTCTGCAGTTTCCCTGTACGTTATTGAGAGCTGCAGACTGCAGGGTGGTCTTCTGGGCAGAACGTGAGCTTCACCTGAAACAGTGAGGGAGGCTGCACTGACACCTGGTTCTGACCTGAACCAGAGACCAGGCCTAAGCTCGGTCTCGGGTCTAGAGAGAGCAAAGCAATCCTGTGCAGGGAGCAGCAGGACGCAAGCAGATTGCCTGAGCTCAGTCTGTGCAGGGCTGGGCTGCGCTGGACGGGTCTGTATGGGTCTGTGCAGGGCTGGGCCGAGACGTCAGGTTAGTCTGTGTGCCTCTTATGTCTGTAGCTTCATGGCCCGGGGCTGCAGTGAGTGCAGAGGAAGTTTGAGGGGTTCAGCTGGTGCCCTGCAGGATCGCAGGAATCCAGGCGTCCAGTCTGGGTCGGTGTGCTCAGAGCAGCAGTGTTTCAGGCCACATTCCTGAGCTGAATGAACTCATCATAGTGGTGGGGAGGTCCTCCCACTCTTGTGTCAGTTCTGCCGAGTAATGTGTTAAAGCATCAGGCCTGAGGGTTAGGGCACGTTATAGATCTCTTCTAAATGACATTAAAGACCTCTATAGATCTTCTTTCTACTTTTGAACGCCGCATTAACCTTTTACTTGTTCCATTAGAGGTCTCATTCTCTTGTATCGTGAATCGTCACTCCAGCATCCCCGGTCCTTGTCTTTAGAGCTGTGGTATAAGCACATACAAATCTCCCTGAGGAACAGTGAAGGCTTCGGATGGGGAACAGAGCAGTTAACATTTATTGTTCATTTGAACATAATTTTTGGTGTAAGATGGAGTTGATCTGTAGTTAGATCATTCTCCAGCACAATTTACACTTGAGCAACAAAAGCAGTCTCTGTCTTCTCTAGATCTTGGTTGCATCAGGAGATATCAGTGTGAATATGCAAATGAACAGTGGCTGGGTTGCTCATATTGAGATAAGGGAGCTACTGCTTGATGCCTAGATCGCTGCTCTCCATCTCAGCAGCAGACAGAGACCTGAGATAATCTGCCTGCGGGACAACTGCCTTTTCCTTCTGGAAGAAGAAAAGTCTTAGCATTGATTTGTGTTTTTGCATTTCTTAACCTTGATCGACAGTGTCAGATTAAGGTGGGCAGTGCTGCAATTATTCAGCATTTTTATTTGTTTAAAACTTCAGCTGATCCACAAATATTCATATTCATACCTATGGCCGTTCTACAAGCTGCATATCAGACACGATACGTTTCTTGTTTTGTCTCTGAAAAACAAACCTCTTCACATGGCCATTGTGATTGGAAGTAAATTGGTTTGCGAATGATGTGGGGAGTTCCCCCCTCCCCACTGCTCATTCAGCTGTAATGGGCCTCTTTCAGTCCTTCGGGTCTCCAGGCTCACATAGCAACCGGAGGTCGCTCTACTTGGCAACCGCACGATATGGAGAGTCCTTGGGCCTCTGCTTTGAAGCTGGAAAAGGAAAATGAAAATAGAATATTTCAAATTAAACTCTCCAAGCTCTGGTTGAAAGTTCTATTTTTCTCTTGAGCGAAGCGCGTGCATCCTGAGTTCTTTGGTGGTCATAATAGCCCTGTTTTCAGGGGCTCTTCGTGTCGGTGACGTTGCCGAAAGGCCGAGACCTTGGAGACCTGCCGAGAGAGCAGGGCCCAGCGCTCGCTGCAGCCTCTCGAGAGCCGGCTTGCTCTGCCCGGAGCAGCAGTGTCTCTTCTGTCGAGTGGGGGCCAAAATGTCTCTCTGGAGCCGGGGAGCTCAGGAGCGCCGCGCAGAGAGGGGGCGGCGCCGCGCGAGAGCGGTGAGGGTGCTGGGCCAAGCGAAACTGCTCACCCTGCTAGAAAGGCAGATGTCTGCTCGGCGCTCCTGGCGGGGACTGTCCCACGCCGGTTTCAGAATGAGGCGTTCGAATCTGCAGCTCTGCACTCCTGGGGCTGTGGCCTGTGGTCCACCCCGCTGAGTGTGGCTTCAGTTTCTTTGGCACACCAAAGCAGGTGCTGCCAGTGGGACGTCAGCGCTTTGTGCAGGACAGTCCACACTGCGCAGGGACCAGCTCCGGCAATTGGCCTAACGAGATTTGTAGTCTCTTTATTTTGAGCTGGTAATAAGGTGTGTGTTGGGTTGTTTTGTGTGGGTTAATGGAACGGCTTTCACAGTCCGGTTGCGGGTAGGGTCCCTCAGAAAGGCTCTTAACGAGAGTTTCTGCCAACGAGGGAGGAATTGAGAAGAGGCAAAGAGGACCTAGTTGTTGTCACAGTAAACATCCAGTTTTCTGGACTTTGGATTTAATGGACAGACTCGGTGAAAAGGGGATCTTGACTGTAAAATCGAAAATGCAATAACGGGAAAATGCACAAATAATAAAACAAGGTACAAATAATTATGAGCTGGGTCATTCAGGAATGTTAGTGGTGTCCTGTAGGTCAGTTGCTTAGTATGGGTATTGTTTGCATTTTGTAAGCTTTAGCACATTTTACACAGAATATTTGTGAAATAAAGAGCTTGTGTATTTATGATAAAGGCAC